GTAGAACATTTTTTTTATTTTCATTGCCAGATTGGTTCCTTATGTATGTTTTTGTGGAACCTATCTGTCACTTCCAAAAAGGGAGGGGATGTGACCTGCTTAGGTCTAGTAATGTTTTATTTTTAGTTTGACATTGTTATAATACCATATATGGTTGATGGTGCAACAACCGGGTTTTTTTCACTGTCTTACTAAGAGAGTCTAAGACTCAGAAATTTTCCATCAAGATCTGATTGATTGATTCAGATCAGATGACCACCCCAACCAATGGCCACATGAGTTGAGGATAACCTCCCCTGTTGCCTAAGTCTATAACTAGATCGCACACAGGCAGCACGAGGCAGTCCATCTTGACCAGGCCGTCCATTTTGTCCGGCAGTCCATTCTGACCATTTGAACGTGAGAGAGCTTAAGTCCTGAGTGTGCTATGCATTCTTAAGTTGTTTAAGTATTCTAGTATTATATTACTTGGGGCCAAGTGATTCTTGATGCTATAGCAGTGTTATGTGACCTGTGGCTATTTTTATACAGTGCTAGAATCCGTGATAGTATTTTTTCTTACGCTTTGTAAGTTGGGTTTTGTTATTTTCTAAATTAAATATTTTATCTTGTTTAACCGTGTGTTCTGCCACAACTGTGTTCGCTTATTAAAGGTTGTATGCAGATTGGATGAGTTGTTAACTTCAATAGTATCACTAGTTTTCCCTAGACATCGAAATCGAGCCCTAGTGTGTTGTTGAGTTAGTGTCCATTCATTTAGGCTTTAGGTCATTTGCATATAACCCCAAGAAAGAATCCGGGGGCGTTCACCATCTATCTGGCTGGTAGATAGGTGTCCGTTACAATATATATATATATATATATATATATATATATATATATAATTCTAACTACCGAAGAGATGCAAGGAAATTCTACACTGGTAGAAGTATATGTTTTCTATACAAATCGTATTTTGTACAAATCCTCCCAGAAAATTTAGTCCACCCCCACCCTCGAATATTTCAAGTACCCCCTCCCTCCGGGGAGGAAAAAGTCTGATCGCATTTGTAGATTATACAGACTAAAGGTAAAGCCTACTTCTATAATATAGACCTGTTTCCTACTTATGGCCGACAAACCTCACTCACGCAGACAGTGTTTCTTTCAGACCTTTTGTCCGGGGTGTGGCACTTGAATACAATGCTCCGGGGCGGGGAAGGTCGACACTGGTAAAAGTATAAATTTTCTATACAAATTATATTCCGTTTGGGGGGGGGGGGGGGAATGGGGCAAGACTTTCTTCTATGGAAGCGGAGGGGGCTTAACCCCTACCCGAAGAGATTTTTGTATTAACAGGGTATTTTTACAAGCTTTTAATTAACTTGCTTACTCAGTCTGTATGGGTCTTAACGGGCGAGCCCCTGCGCACGATTATTCGCCAAGACACTTACTTACTTATCATTTGGATCCGCCTCAGTGTGTCAAGCTTAAACAGATACCAATGGTAGTACGACACGTATCATTTAGCGACCGGTTAGACCTTTGTCATACTTGCTCATTTCGAAATGTTCTCGCTCGTGAATTTTAATTAATTTCTCTAGTTTAATTAAATGTGTGGATTAATTGTAGAATTTATATTACTTGCTTATTTCGAAATGTTCTCGCTCTTGAATTTTAATTAATTTATGTAGCTTAATTAAATGTGTGGATTAATTGTAGAATGTTCTATTCAATGTTAAATCCTATATTACTTGTTACACAGAGGATTTTTTAACTGTGATTTGCAAATGACGAAGTTGACGGCCATTTTAGGTAGGTTATAATGTTACGTAGTGGACGGCCATTACAGCCAGGTTCACTAGTGACGTAGTAGACGGCCGTCATTGCTAGTTTTAACAAGTGACGTAGTAGACGGCCGATATTTCTTGTTTAAACAGTGCCGTAATGGACGGTCTTTACAACTAGGTACACTATAGAATTAGTGGATCGCCGTTATAGCTATTCTAACAAGTCACGAAATGGGCGGCCGTTATAGCTATTCTAACATGTCACGAAACGGACGACAGTTATAGCTATTCTAACAAGTGACGAAATGGACGGCCATTATAGCTATTCTAACAAGTGAAGTAATTAACGGCCGTTACAGTACCGTAATAAATGTCTTCTATACCTAGGTTATCAAGTAAATATTTAGTGTTGCTTGTAAATCCTTGTAAATAATATTTGATTTGTCAGTTGCGCAATAATAGTAAAACCACCATTTGTTTTAATAAAACATTATTAACCATATAGTTTCGCTGTCTGTGTATCTCTCTGTGTATCTATCTGACAAGAACGCCATAGAGAAAACACAAGCAACTTAAAAACATGCACAGTAAAGAGGAAGCGAAATATGACGTCATATTCAGCATATAGTAGAAAATAATATCAAGACGGAGAGTGCACACAGTAATATGACGTCATTGATTCTCCAGTAAACATTGAATAAAAAGGCAATTTTGTCTAATCTAAGCGGTTTGCGTGAAGAGTTTCTTTCATACATATCTTCGGGTAGGGGCGAAGCCCCACCCTCGCGAGAGAACGTCTAAGCCGCCCCCCCCCCCAACTCAAAAGAAATTTCTTCATCTATGCTCTATAATAAAAAGTACCGCCTAATTAATGTGTCTAATCTTAAAAGTGGTTTGCTTGCAGTTTGTTTCATGCAATTCTTCGGGTGGTGGCTAAGCGCGACACCAGTGTTTCTTTCAGACTTTTTCCTCCCCGGAGGGGGGAACTTTTTCTAATCTAAAAAGTGTTTAGCGTGCACAGTTTTTTTCATGCATCTCTTCCGGTAGGGGCGAAGCCCCGCCCAGGTTCTTCCTTTAGTTTGTATGATCTACAAATGCGACCAGTGTTTCTTTCGGACTTTTTCCTCCCCGGAGAGGGGTTTGTGTACTTGAAATTTTCGGGGGCGGGAGTAGAATTTTCTGGGAGGGGGCGGACACTGGAAAAGGTATATAATTATATTTCGTTGAATGGGACGGTAGACATGTATTGGGGTGTGTGTGTGGGGGGGGGGGGGTTTGGTTTAAGTTTAGAGAAAATAGACAGCACTATCAACCTAGCGCCCGTTGTATCCTTCCTCAATAATATACAGTGGAGTGTTATTATTAAATTTCAATATTTTTCATAACTTATCTCTGGTTGGCTTATAAATTCATTGTAATGAGTTAGTGAGCATTAAATTTAAACCTGTTCATTGTTAGAAAGAACGTTATGTTAAGGTGTTCCCTTTGAATCCAGTTTGTGATATAAATGAAATAACTTGCATACATATGTAATTACAGCAATAGGATTTTTTTTTTCAAGAGCGAGAAAATTTCGAAATCAGCAAGTATTACAAAGGTTTAACTGGTCGATAAATGATACGTGTTGTACTTCTATTGAAATCTTATAGAGGCTGAGCTTTACTTACAACAAAATGAGTTTCCTGTCTAATCCCTGTTTGATTAACTACAAGCGCAAACATATTTCTGGCGAATAAAATATTCATACCGAATTCAACCAACTCACGAGCAAATACAAACACACACAAATACTGCAATCTTGCCCTCAAACACAAATACAAACTATGGATTAAAGGATAGTATGTGGGTGGGGTGCGGGGTTAATAAAGCAGCAGCATACACTCCTTGAATCGCCTACGGCCAAATCCAATCGACCCTCCCCCCAATTAAATTTATTACGCATTGATCGACCTCCACCCAAAGCGTGCCATATTTCACGTTTCGGAGAAAAGTCTGGTAAGGGCGTTTAGTCCACATGTAGACCTTGACTTTATTTTTCAACTAAAGAAAAAGGTGGATGGGGTTGATTAGAATGTCGAACAGGTTGGGAAGTTTGCGCATGGGTTATGTGTTCTTATGTTATTATTGAAGTTTGTCTAAGGCAGAAAATATTTAATTAGGCCATCACCTAATATCACGTGATCAGAAAAATGAGTATTGTATTTATTGTTCTCTGGGAACAACTAATTACTTGTCTAAATACAGGATATGTTCTTAATGATTAAATTAGTAAACTCATTTCTTTGTTTATTACCCACATACCAGTGTGTTTGATTAATGCATGCCTTAATTACATGTAGAAACGTGCTATCGACCATTAAAACTTCGGTGTATAGGCCAGTAACAAGAACGTTCCTGGCATCTCTATCCTGGTCTAGTCTCTCCAATTGGCCCCTGGTGTCCTGGGCTAGTCTCCTAAACTATCACCAGGTGTATCCAATCTTCTTGGTGTCAGTTATCTCCGTCCTGTGCAAATCTCTCCAGTTGTCCCCAGATGTACAGTATCTTTTTTGGTGTCTTCACCTCGCTCACATCTCCAGGAAAGGTCCTGTCTAGCTATGATGAATACAGACTTTCGTGATGTATACTTCATATCCCTTTTCTCTTGAGTATTTTTTCCAATGTATCTTTTAAATTTTTTACTCCGGGTTCACTTTCGGGGGTGGGAATGGACACAAGTTTCCGGGGGGATGACTCGGTTAAAAGTAATTTTTTTTCTAATCAAATTTTTTTTGGGGGTGCCACGTCCCCCCCCCCCCCCCCCCCCCCAAGACATGCCTGAAAGTGTAACTCAGCGTTTACCAATGTGCTAACGCTCAAAGGGGTCAGAAAGATAATCCAACGAACAGTAGTCTAGGAGAGAGAATTCAGTATTCAACAAAACATTGTACGTGGCAAATGACACGTCACTTTTGCACGTGTTCAGAGACAAACCTCGATTTGTTTAATCACTTTGTAAGTAAAATATGTCCATTGGTTTATGGGTACTGTGACCTAGATTCATAGCTTGTGTTAACAGAAAACAACGATTGGTTTGTTTGTTTGTTTGTTACGAAAACAGTTTCCTTAAATCATTGGCTTATGGTACAGATTGGCAAGTTATGTTCTCCCGTGCTCACAGAAGTGCGATGATTGGTTAATTCATTTGTTACGTAAAATGTGTTAATTGGCTGATGGTTAAGCTAGTCAAGCCCCGCAAGCTGTCTGGTATGATTTGAAAGGTATATAATGGGAAGATCTTCAACACTCATGAACTGATTACAGCTCGGTAAGTCTGATATAATTAAACTATGTTGCTTTTTTAAATCATTGCTGAACGATTGTTTATGAATGGCTTCACTCTCTATGTAGGTGCAGGTGAAGACGTGTGGCGAGGGGGGTATTGATGGATGATCGATTTAATAGATTTTTAAAAAGTGTAACACGCATTGATAAATATTCATAAAATTGATACATGTCAGTTTTAATTCTTTTTTTTGTTAACAATCGGTTTCAAAATAGCTAATAATTATGTATTATGTGGGAGCGAATCGTAGGCTTACTGTCGTTTATTGTAACTGGAGGGTGAGGGCGCAGGAGGAGGGGTGGGGGTAGGGTTGACAGACTGTGATGATGTGTGCGTAATTTCTTGGCAAACCTTTGTATTTCATAAATCGCTTATACAATTAAGACAGGCTTATATGAAGCCTCTCCGACGTAAATGAGTAAAGTAGGGCAAATTTGAGCAAACAAAAATTAGAGACAAGAGCTGGTTAAACTCTAGCGGGCCTATCTCTTTTCATCGGCGATTATATGAGCGTTACTTAAGAAATCCCAAGATCTTATACCAGAGTTAGGTACCTAAGACGGCCCGTCGACTACAGCCAGGCACAATCGGAGCTCTTTGAAAGCTCACTATCTCAAACCATAGCCTATTATTAAATTTACAAATAAGTATTAGATCATTTAACAGGCCTCGTTGAACATTTTAACGTCTTCCAGTAACAGGAAAATCCTCTCCAATACAATTAAGTATACGTGTTATCCGGTTAGGTGTCATTGAGGCCATTGACTCCAATTTCTGCATTCTTTTCTTTTTGCTCTCATAGCCTTTGTCCAACCAAGAACAAATTATAAGGCACCAGTTGTTTGATTTTGGAGTTGTCTCTCCTAGAAGAGTGTCTGTCCTCAGCTAATGAGCGGCATCTGTCGGAGGGTTCGAACTCGAGACTTTTAGCAACCGTGAGCTTTACCGACTCGACCACACTGACCCCTAACAGTTATTTAATATTCATTATTTCTCTCCTATATAGCACATTTTCAAAACGAAACAAGGACGGAAAAGTACACACAATAAAATAACGTCATTGCTTCTAAAATAAACAGAATTAAAAGTTCACTTGCAAAAAACTACACAAAACATTACCGCCTAATTTATTTGTCTAATCTAAATAGTGGTCTGCATGCATAGTTTCTTTCCCGGCATTTCTTCGTCGAGGGGCGACGCTCTCCCTCTACACACACACCATGAAAACGTCTACCACCTCTCCCCATAGGAACAAAATATAATTTATATAGAAAATATATGATCGATAATTCGAGTTACCAAGCATAAAAAGGATTTAATTGCCTAAAATCATTGGGATCTTCATTTCAATCTATTTTCAATTTTTCATAACCATAGCCAATAAATTTTAATTAAAACTGTGTTTTTAGAAGCCTCTAGTTTAAATAATATCTTTCTCTAGTCTCCTTTTTCAATTATCACAAGAACGTTTGGTTGTTAATGTTTTGGACAAGTCCAGTTCTATTGATGATAATGATGTGTCAGCTTCGGGTCTAGGACCACTCCGTCAAATTACCCCCCCCCCCCCCGATGCTAAAGAACCCTGATCTTAAACCCGAACTCCAAGCCTATAGCTAACCCTTACAAAAATAAAACCAAATTGAGAACTCTAACCCTAAAGTAAACCCTAACCTAGCCCTAGTCCTAACTAGGACGAGGGGTAATTGCTTGGAGGTGGTAATATCGGGTGGGGGGGGGGATGTCGGAGGAGTAATTGTCACTATTAACGCTCTCTCTGAGGGGAAAACTCTAGTGTACATCGTATATTTTTTTGTGCTCGATGTTCTAAAAGTCTCATACAAGATTACATGTATTTTACGAAATGACAGCGCGGCATGTTCAAAAATACTGATCGGCCGCACGACCATGTAGGTTAGAGGGAATATTAGTCACTATAGTATGTGAGATTGACAAAGTAAGCAGTGTATGCGAAACTGAATGACTGGAGTAAGGTATAGGCCTTATCGTCGTGGTAAAAATCTGCTCTGGGACTTGAACAGGTCGTTTGATTGTAGCTTATGCTCTTAATTTGTCGACCTTTCTCTACAGAAAATTTACATCTTTTTCATAAAGAAGCAAGATGTTTTTATCGACATTATTGTCTACAAACAGTATTTGCTCAGTAATTTTTTCAGTGATAGTAAATAAAAGGTTTGCCACTATTTGTATAACAATGTCAAAACACATGCTTAGCGACATTGTTAAAAAGTTAGAAAAGATAACTTTAAAAAAAACAAAACAAGCAAAGCTATTGGGAAAAAAAACAAATGTAAATATAATACCTAAATAGCAAATCTTTGAAAAACCGCCAGTAATTTATTTCTGTTACACTTAGGATTTTTTTTCTATAAAAATGTAAACTGTAGCTCTGCGAGTGGTCTGAAAATGGAAAGTTACCACAAGTATTACAAGAAAGCTATCTCATATATACTGAAAACAGCTTATTAAGTAGTAAATGTTTTAAAGCAAATTCAACAACTCTAATTTATTTCAATTTTGATAAGTGATAATTTGAAAATTTGAAAAAGGATTAGTTCAAATTCGATGTTATATTGCATTGTGTTTGGGTCTTGACCTACGTACCAATTTGAAACGAATTGGTAAGATATAAGTAATAGAAATTAGCCTATGACTATGGGGTCATCCATAAACTTGCACTAACCGGATAGTATATTTTACAAATATATAATTCTTTTTACGGGCAAACGACGCAAGCCAACGCAACCCTCATCCAGTCCCCTCCATTGCTCTCCAGACATGCGCAACTGACCATTTAGCTAACATACTCAACAGTCTGGTGAACCGTGGTTCACCCAGAAGGTGTACAATTGGATGTTGGACAAAAAGCCGACATCCAAAGGACCGATATCCAAAAGGCCGACAAGACAAAATGCCGACAAGATATATGGCAGACAAGACATAAGACCGACAAGACAAGGCCGGCAGACCAAAACACCGACAAACCATAAGGCCCACAATAATAAAAAAAATACTAATATCCCCGAAATTGAGTTACTGCATAGCTCCTATCTTGAGAACAATCAAAATAAGGAATAAAATAAGACGGGAAATTTTGGCGCCCCCTATGGTCGGCGCCAGGGGACATATGTCCCTCCCCCCTTCCCCCCCCCCCCCCCTCGCTACGCTACTGCCATCAGGTCCAAGCGACTGGAGTTTACGGGAAAGTCTTAAACACTTATGATAAACAGCTACATTTTGCAAAATAAAATAAATAGTGTTTTCATACGTTCGAATGAGGAGATGGAGATGGTTGGGCCATGGGTGTCCGATCATAAACCCCCTGGACATAAACCCCCTGGACAAAACCCCCCGCGATATAAACCAAAAGGATAAAAAAAACCAATGAGGTTTATATATATATATATATATATATATATATATATATATATATATATATATATATATATATATATATATATATATATATATATATACTTAGATTTAAAAGCTGGTTATGAAAAATGTTAAATGCATTTTAATTTTGGCCAGTGCTCATATTCGGGCTAATGCTTATGTAAGTTCGTAGAGATTGTCTACCTGTTGTGTTACTGTAAAATATTATATCAGTTTTGTTTTTATGTTGTATTTGAAAGGGTTACAAAAAATGCAATATAACAAACCAAGTCTTACGTATCAAATGTACATCTATATACATCCACATTCTAAACATGGCTCAGTAGTCTTGTCGGCCATTGGGTGATTACGCATTACAAATCCTAGCATAATGCCTGGTTGTTAAGATGAGCAGAGACAGATGTTGCCCACGTTTCAGGCACCCTTTCCTTACACAATTGGTGGTATCAAATATATCTAACCTAATCCTTAAATAACTTGATATTATTTTAGTTATACTGAGCTGATTAAAATGAAGATCGCAGTTCTTCTTCTTCTGGTGTGTCTTGCAAGTCTCTGTGTTGTATCAGACAGGTCAGTTAAATTAAACTATCTTCTTTGAATAACCATTTTCTTATATTGGTAATATATAGACAGGCAGACAAACAAAAAATGTTTATTTGTTGAATAGATGGATCGGTGGATGAATGGTTAGGTGGGTTTAGGGTTGGATGGATGGATGGATGGAAGAATGGATTTTGAAATGGTAATGGACATGGATGTGGATATAAAAACACAGATATGAATTTGAATATTCACTTACGTTTTATTTCTTATCAAACAGTTGTTGCGGAAAGTATCATGCATCTTGTAACATTGGATGGGACTGCTGTGTAAAATATTATTGTAACCCTACTCTAAATGAAAGGACAGGGTACTTAATATTATTTTCAATCATTAAAATTATTAGTAGCATTTTTCTTTAAAATCTTTAATTATTTTTTTAAGGAGCTTTATTGTCCTTAAGGTTTATTGTGACTCAGATCTAATTAGAAATTGCCACCGAAACGAATTTTTTGAAGCATGTTTTATTGTTTAATTTCCTATTATTTCAATATGCTAAGCTCGAGAATACTCTCGGGATGCAATGGCAAAACGTTTACAGAACAAAGTAGTTATTTTTAAATTAGAACAACGACTGACACCACAGCTGTAATGCAGAATAGGTCATTCAAAAAGTTTCAAGAGAGATTTGTTGTACAATCTTGGTTTTTGATGTTGCACATATATGAGTTTCGTCTCCCGAACTTGAAAAAAGTTCAAAGGACCACTTTCACGAACAAGAAAGTTTAAAGACATCTCCGATTTTAATCTATTACTTATTTATGAAATGTCCTCTATCAGGCTGAAGTGGTATTTAAGTTATAAATTTTAATATTTCTATTTTCAATAGCCCAAAAAAATAGTTTGTTTATAGTAATTGTTGTTATCCAACTCACCAAATATTATACCAAAACTATAACTTCCATCCATTATTGTTTCATCTTAGTTTTTTCTTTCTTTCTTTTATAGAAAATGGAATGGACCAAAAAGATGTGTAGGTCCAAAACCGAGATAAAAAATAACGCGTAGTTTCTGTAAGTTTATAATACATTTTCAAACATGTATATAGTTATATTTTTGTTTGTATGTTTGTTCTTTTTGAAATTGAACAGGCATAAATGCTCGTGAAAGATACCGGCACAATCCAAGGCCAGTCCAAATACCCACGTTCACTTAGAGTCATATCCACACACACCGGCAACACCCATGGCCTCATAGCGACCCGTTCACATGTTCCGAACTCCTCCAAATTCGCTGCCACCACACTTCATCCCCCCACACCACTACCCTCCCAAACTCGACTCCCTTCACCCAATCCCTTAGCACACATTTGCACGCTAAATAACAACCAAGTTAGTATATTGATTTATGTTTTCATTAAATATCTTCGTCAAGTCTGTCTGCTAATTATAACACATACTTTATTTTTTTCAATACTTACCGACACATTCACTATTAACATTGTTTGCGTCACTTCTCAATCCAAAATAAAAATGTATCCATCAAAAAAATTTAGGACCTTGTTATTACTATCCCAGCAAATTAACTTCATCTTCTGTTGTTCGTAAAATGTGTAAATAAGTGATAAAATATCAATGTCTTCAACACTAACGTTACAAACAAAAATTTACGCAGCAAAAATTAAAATTTCGATTTATAAAACTGGCTGCGCAGATCAAAGTATAACAAATAAAAACGTTTTCAAAATGCTGAATAAAAAAAAACAACTATTTATGATGTACACATTTTAGTATGCGCATTAAATGTATTTGCATGTTAGGTAAGTGAAATTTAAAAAAAAAGGAAATAATATGAAACAGTTTTTATGTTTAGAATGCAATATTTGTAATTATATACATTGGATTGAAAAAAAACTGTTTATTTTTTTTCCCTTGCAGATAAGCAAACGAATAAAAGAAACTTATAGAAAAAATAAACATCTGGCATTGACATGTTTTTATGGTGTTTTTTTTCACTTTGATTTTTACTCAATGAAACGGATCAAATAAAAAAATTCAAATTCAGTTGTGTCGCCAGTGATCAAAGACCCTATGCTAAGAAAACACCTGTGATCAAACCCCCTATGTTCAAAGCACCTGTGGTCAAAGGTCCTAGGACCATCTAATGTACAACTATTTACAACTATATACCAAACATGCAATTACAATCATGGATCAGTAGTCCTTATCGACCGTTATATGATTGCACATTAGAAATCCAAGCACAATGTCTTTTTTTAAAATGGTAAGAGCCAGATGTTGCCCATGTATCAATCACCCTCTACCTTTGAACTTTTAATTATGTATACTTTAGAATCAAGCTGAAATTTTATTATGTGTAAATTTCCGACTTTAAAATTGTAGCTACATATATCGCTTCGTTTTGAAAATGTCTTAAATGTAACGTTACATCACGGTCGTTCGCTGTGCAACTTTTAAATGTCTATGTGTTTTCGGTAGTACGTTCTGGGTAAACAGACAGAAAGACAGACAAAATAGCGAACTTCTTATAGTGGTTTAGTGGCTAAAGTAATAGTTAAGGAATAGAAAGGTAAAATGATGGTACATTGGTTAGTGTACAATCTAAAATATGTTTTTTTTAATGATTTCCCTTTTTTCGGAAGGGAGGGGGGGTGGTTTAAATTATCTGTTGAGTGGTGGAAAATCGGTAAAATTATATCTTCTAAACATACTGTTTTAAAGTATTCTGCTTGCAGAGCATTTTTAAGGTACCTCTTTGGTTAGGGGCACACATAACACAATCTACTCGCATTAGTCTACACCGTTTTATGCATCATCAACATCCGGACTACTGTAAGGCCACCCACATCAACAGACAGAACACGGCCACACTCGATATTCACAGCCACCCGTTACACATTAACTATGCATCTCACACTGCATTAGTTATCAAACGATTTGCATCTAGTAAACTAGTAAACCATAGAAAACATAATGTAACATTCTTTTGAACTTAGCTACTGTTCACCTATCTGTTGTAATGAAGCATGATGTAAACCAGTTCACATGTAGACATCATTGGTGAATATTTGAATCGATCTAACCTTTACATCCTTATCATGACAAAAGTGTGTATTTAGTGTAATCTGAGTATATATGAATCGATTTAACCATTATATAGGCCTACGTACATCCTTATTATGACAAAATCGTGTATTCAGTGTACTTTCAAGTATGAAGTGTACCTGACCTTCGTTAAGGAAAGTAAAGGCGAATGGCCTTAGTGTTGACCACACTATCTTTTCACATGCATAGGTCATTGAAAAAGGTTAACGCTATTCCACCTGCCCGATGGACAGTAAAGTTTTAAAGGGTACCTATCGTTATCTTTCATGCTTTCTAAATAATGCATCTGGTATTTAAGTACATAACTAGCTGCTATTTTGTTTTATTTCAAAAAATTATAAAAACTCGACGCCCCAAACCAAATGTGTAATCCGGAAATCCTTTTTGTTTTTAATTAAATAAATCACTATTAAAATTGTACATACTCCAATGTACCAGCATTTTACGTACCTATTGTATTAATCACTAAGGGGTCATCCATAAATGACGTCACGCTTTTTTGGACGATTTTACCTCCCCCCCTCCCCTCCGTCACACGTCGTCACATAAAGCCAGACCCCCCACTAAAATGACGTCACACCTCAACCTAAAACCCCCCTCAAAATTGCAGTTGAATTTTTTTCAAACATCGATATTTTTTTTAAATCTTGTCTAAACTATTACAATTTATTAAAACAGTAATCTAAAACGCGAAATAACGTCTAAAATTCGTTTTCTAACAATGCTTTTTTATAATGCAAAAGTGTGACGTCGCAACATCTGAACCCCCCCCCCCCCTCCACCTCATCACACATCGTCACAAAATTACGACCCCCCCTCCCCCTACGAGTGTGACGTCATTTATGGATGACCCCTAAATCAATTCAATAGTTTCGCTATTCCGGGTGTTTTTCAGTCTGTCTAACGCAGGGGTCTCCAAACTACGGCCCGCTGGCCGAATGCGACCCGCGGTGTCCTCTCATCCGGCCCGCGAAGATATTTTTGTCCACGGAAAAACCGTTTGTTGGTGATGGCGGAGAAACGTTGCCCACAAAAATCAAAGACATGCCTGGAAGAAACTGTCCTTGAACTGAAATTTGATAGTTGATGCGGCCCTCGGACTGAAAAGTTTGGAGACCCCTGGTCTAACGGAAACGCTCTAGAGAAAACACAAGGAAATTTAAAAGCTGCACAGCGGATGTCCGTGACGTAACGATACATAAGGAAATTTTCAAAACGAAACGAACGATGTACATATGTAAAGCCGGAAATGTACACACACTAGTATGACGTCATTGATTCTAGAGTAAATAGAATTAAAAGTTCAATGCCGAAAAAAAGTACACAAAAATAGTGACGACGTCGATACTTGATAGTACGAACACTAACATTATAGCATAATTTAATTGTCTTATCTTAAAAGTGTATTGCGTGCAGAATTTCTTACAGGTATTTCTTCGTCGAGGGGCGACGTCGATCCCCCTCCACCTTCCACACACACTCCATGATAACGACTAACTCACCTCCCTTTGGAACGTAACATAATTAATATAGAAAATATATACTCTGCTACATGTGAATACTTACTGATACCCACATGAGAAATCTGACAACAACAAAAATTCAAATGTCCCCGCCCCTCTCTGAAAGAAAAACATTCCTGAAAAAACTGCATATTTTTAGGTTTAGCAGCCATAGTAGGAAACGGTTTTAGATTATGAATGGCGGGTCTACATTTACTCTCTCAGTTCAACAAATGCGACCAGTTTTTCTTTCAAACTTTTCTCTGGGAAGGGATGGAGGTGTGGTGGGGGGGGGGGGGCAGGTTGAGGCAAACAAAATTTTCTGGAGAGAGGGATGTAGACACGGATAAAAAAATTGTTTTTCTATTTAAATTATTTTTTGTGTAGATCAATTTTACAAGCTAAATTAATGTGGAAATGTATACCTTTAGCTCGGTACTTTGTTTTGACAGTTCACAATCGTTCTGTGCAGAGCTCACACCTGTTCTTACTCTTCCTTCGTTTTACCTTACCTTTAAAGTTTTCAAGTCAGGTAAGTGTGTATAGCTTCGGTTTAAACTAATTTTATTAAATTGTTTTTTTTTTTAGATAAATGTTTACACGGATACAAGTGAATACTGTCAGGCAACACGGTCATTTGTTTTATGATTTTTTAGGATTGCCAGTTTTTTTTTTTAAATGTGTATTTACACAATTAATATTTTAATAATAAATTATTGAAATGTTTTCTTAAAACGTGATATTTCTATATTTAAAGAAGGTAAACATGTGGTCTACAAATATTGTAATTAGATTTTGATTTCTAGTAATTAAAGTAAACCCCTATTTCTTTTTTCATAAAAAAAGTTATTATAACAAGTTTTTACGTAATAATGCACAAAAAAGTTGAAAATAAATTATACGCTACTATTTAAATTACTATAAAGAAAAGCGGAGGGTCACTTTAGTACATTGTATCTATTGGAGATCTTTACTAATATTTAGGAAGCGACCCACGCTTTTCTTTATAGTAATTTAAATAGTATTGTGTAATTTATGTTCTACGTGTTAGTGCATTATTAAAATAAAGCTTGTTATTAAGTCAAATTGAATGCCATGATGCAATTTCTTCATGTCTCAAAAAATTTTTTTTACTGAAACTTGAATCAACAAATTCTCACAAAAATACAACTCAAGCTTAAATCAACAAATTTTCACAAAAATACAATTCTAACTTGAATCAACAACAATTCAAACAAGTCAAATTTATAATATACACGTAGAAGACAAACATAATAATGTAACAAACAAACATAAATAACAAACACATCAGCAATCCTTACTATAGCAACAACAAAACCAAGTTTTAAAAAAGCGTAAGGTACAGATGAATTTCTTTAAATATATAGTAATATAATACACTACTATTTATATAACTATAAAGAAAAGCGTGGGTAGCTTCTTAAATATTAGGTAAAGTATTCAATAGATAATATATTGACCCTGCATGTATTGACTCACGTTCCAACTACGAACCGTATTTGTCAGGTATGAGTGCCTGCATTTTCCCTCGGGAGTTTCGATCTAGACAGACAGACAGAGAGACTGACGAGGAAGTGAGTTACATAAAAGCTTGTAAAAAGAATGTAGTTTTTCGCTAGTTTACTAAATATAGTAAATTTTATTTTTATGCCTTATTCTAGTTCTAGTAGTAAGATTGGTTAATTTCTTGGATGGCAGAAAATTGTATTGCCTATAATAACTAGAAGGTACGTTAAGTAGGCCTATACCTGTAGACTGGTAATATTCACTACTTCTCAATAATTATAACTAGACAGTATGGTAATTTTATGCTTAGCTTATATTAACTTACCTTAGTCTTCCCGGGCTAAACTTGGCATAGTCATTTCAGTTACGGGCTATATGATTATGCATCGACATGCATCAAAATTCTAGAGCTAAATTTCTATGAGGAGAATGCAATACGACATAAAATTTGATTTAATTGGATGCCCTCTTAATTTTTTATGAATTAATTACTATTTCATAATTTATATATATATATATATATGTATATATATATATATATATATATATATATATATATATATATATATATATATATATATATATATATATATATATATATATATATATATGAAATACTTAAAATGTTATTTTAATTTATTAAAAAAAAACAAAGATTTCAGTATTTTCTAAGGAAGGGGGGGGGGGGTTAATTTTTGGTGATGGTCGAAAACCGGTAAAAGTATATATTCTAAAATTGCCATTTTTAAAGTGGTCTGCATGCAGAGTTTCTTTCAGGCATCTCTTTGGTAGGTGCATAAAGAACACAATCTACTCTCATGAGTCTACATCGCTTTATACAT